ATAATTTTTATTTTAATAAATATAATTATTAAATATTTGTTTAATAAAACATTTATTTATTTGAATAAAATATTAATTTTTTATAATTATAAATAATAATAGTAAAATAAAATTTATAAAATTAATTATAATATTTAATTAACAAATTTTTTAATTTTTTTATATAAAATTTTTCTATTATATATATAATTATAATAATAAAATATTATATTTAATATATAAATATATTTTTTAGTTATAAAAAAAAATTTTTATAAAAATAATATTTATATTTTTATGATAATTTTTAAAACTTTATTTATAAATATAAATTATTTAATTAATTTTATTTTTATAAGGGGATCAGTATTCCTAGTTCAGTTATAATAACTGAATTCCTATTATGGATTACATTGCGATAGCCATAAATTCAGACCTCAATTGAGGCATAAAACTAGATGATTTTTATAAGAAATTTATATATAACTGAATATATAAGTGTATAGATTAATATGCGTTAAAAACTAGTAGTTTAATTTGTTGAACTATGTTGATTATATCTAAATACTAAATCTTGCAGAACAAGTAGATGCAAATAAAGTTAGAGATCAACAGAAACTTGGCCTTCACTGATAGGTCTATAATAGATACTGTTTCACGTTTTTAATTTTAGAGGCTCTTATACAGTAAGGAAGTGATTAACTAGTAATTAGTAGATTTAAAGTATATTACAGATTGACTTGCACATCACAATTGTAGGGTAGATTTTATTATCATTAAGAAAAAGGTCAGGTTCAATTTTTAGGTAAGTTTGATACTATAGATACAAAGCTACTATTCATAAAAGAATCTGATTCCTTAATTTTAGAAGTTAACAATAGGGTAAAATTCTATAAGTGATTAGTAAAAATTGTATATCAATCACTGTGACTAAAGTGAGCCTTTTTTTCAATTCTGATAATCAATTAAAATTTGAGTAGGATTAGTTAATACAGAAAACTGGGATTAAAGCTAGTGACCATTGGATTATAATACTAATAGTAATTCTTATTGTATAAATATATATAATAAGGTTATACAGTGTTCATTCATATGAGACCTAAGGAAATAGGTAGATTGTTTGTGAGTATTTTTCTCAACCCTACCTCTAGAGTAAATGTGTCTCTAAAAAAATTAATTTTATATTTATATTTAATTTTTATAATAAACATATTTTATTTTATTTATAAATTATTATTAAAATAATTAGATAATATAAATAATAATATATAATATGTTATTAAAATAATAATTATTAATAAATTAATAGTTTTTTTATATATTATAGATAGATTCTTTATAAATATTATAAATCTAACTTTTGTCTACTACAAAAAATATATATAAAAGCAATTGATATTTGTAATAAGATAATAATTTAAAGTACATATTATGTATTGTTACAGAGTAATAATTATATGATTTACATATAATCTATAAATATAGCGTAGTATTGAATGTCAAAAATATCATACATATTAAACATATTTACATATTAAATATGTTTAATATAGTTAATATATTTAATATAATTTTAAATATATATATAGAAGACTAAATTCATTAAAAAAGATAAAGACTAAATACTAGATGTAATTTGATCAGTTTAGTAATGATTATGTATAACCTCCCTTTTTATAAAGATAATATAAGGTTATTCTTTTCTATTTATGATTAATTCTCTTTTTGTATTTTCTTATTTTAGTATTTTTATCTTTTAGTTTGTTTATTTATCAAAAAATCTTTATTTTTAATTTTTCTAAAAATATCTTTGAGACATTTATATTAATAATATAATTAACATTTATTTTAAACTTAACATGTGAAAATATACTTGACAGTATATTGAATATATTTGGTAGTATATCACAGATGAATTATACATTTATTAAAGGTTTGAATATATTTTTCAATATAAGAACCTTATTTAATTTGAAAACTATGAATTTACTATGTAAATTATAAAAGAGTTAATCCTCTGACACTGCATCTAAACAGTTGCAATCTGAAAAGATTATATGTTAATAGTATTTTATAACTAAAAATAGAATTTATATAATCAATTGGCTATTTAATGTTCAGATTTAAATATTAATAAAAATTTGTGATAGATTATGAAGAATAATATTAAAAAATAAATCTAAATTATTGATTAAAGAATAAAAAGCAATTCTTTAAAAAATTATTAATAATTTATATTTCTTTTATATAAAGTTGATATTAAATAATCTTAGCAAATTTTATGCAATTAATTAGCTTTTAAATAATCAATTAGATATATAATTATCAAAATATTTAATATTTTTTGATTTTTATTTTTTGCAATGCATTATATTTTTATATGTTTTATATATATATATTTTATATATATTTATTTTTTTTGTAACATTTATATTATATATATTAACTTTTATTAATTTTAAATTTTATAGCTTATTAATTATAGATATTAAAATATAAAATTAATAATTTTAATATTTATTTATTTAATATAAAAATAAAAATTTTTTTTATATATAATTAATAAAAAAAAATTATTTTATTATAATTTGTTATATTTTTAAATAAAAATAAAAATAATTTATATATTAAAAACTTAGCATTACACAGTCAACTCTTGATATAATGAACTTTTGATATAATAAATTTTTTGAATAAATATAATAAAAATACTTTTGTTATAGTGAATTGGCTAATCAAATCTCTTAAAATATTCACTATAGCCTTATAGTGAAGTTAAGATCTAGAATATAGAGTTTGTTATAACAAGAGTTGACTGTATAATAAAATTATAAAAATACTAAATATTCTCAAGTAATATTTTTTTAAATTTAAAATTAAATAATTAAATTATTAATAATGATTAGAACTTTCATAAATTATAATTAAATAAAAATAAAAAAAAGTTAATAAATATTATTTTTAAAATAAAATTTCTAAATATTAAAATTTATCAATTATTTTAAAATAAAATTTAAATATTTAAGTATTTTAAACAAATTATTTAAAAGTACTATAGCTAAAAAAAAATATTCAATTATATATATTATATTTTAAGATTTTTTTAATTTAATTTAATTTGATTTTTCAGATTGCATAAATATTAATTTTAAAATTTAATTTAATTTAGATTAAATTAAAAATTACAATTTGATTCTAATTAAAAAATAAAGATATTATTTAATTAAAAGTGATTAAATATTATTTTAATTAAATAAAAATTTATGTAACTATTTATTAAAAAATTAAATAAATTTGTAAAACTTAAAAATCATAAAAAATTGTAAATAAGTTGTAAATTCTTTAAAAATCATAAAGATTTACAAAAAAATTTATATATATATATTGAAATTTAATTTAATTGAGATTTATATATTAATTTATAATTGTATTTTTGATTAATTTAAAATTTTCAGTTTAATTCAGATTTTAACTTTAGTTAAAAAATTTTGTTTTTACATAACATTATAAAATATCTAAATAAAAAAAAATAATTAAATTAAATAAATTTATTTTTAAAAATTATGCTATGATAATTCTTAAAGCAATAAGCATAAAAGTTAAAAAAAAAGTTAATTTTTAAAAAGATAATATACTATTATCATAATCCAAAATTTATATTAAAATATAAAAATAATTACCATTAGAAATTGACTTTATTCTTTATATAATATTTTAGTTGTTCTTTTTAAATTTAAGCAGTTTTGTTAAAAGTAATCATACTATATCAAAAAAATATTTGAAAATATAATGATTTATATTTTTTAAAGCTTTATTTAATGAAAATTTCTTTTTAACTTCTAAATTAATAAAATGTTGATTTTTAATTTTTTTTACTATGCCATTTTTAAAAGTATATTCGAAAAAAAAAAAAAAAAAAAATTAATTTCGATCAGCGTTCCAAGAAGGAAAAAAATTCCATGAATTTCGTTATTTGTGATAAATATTCTTCGCCATTCAATAATAAAAAAAAAAAAAAAAAACTTTTTTAAAAACTACATTAATTTTTTTTTTTTCGTTTATAATAATTTTTTTTTTTTTAAAAAGAAAAAAGTTGACTATATTGCTATTTGCTATTACTAAGTGAATTGTTTTGTTTTTGAAATATGAAATGAAAAATATATATATATATATATATATATACTTTGTTTTTTTTTTAAAAAAAAAAAACGAAAAAAAAAATTCTTTTTGAAAAGGATAATGTACTAATGAGAAAAAAAAAAACTACTAATACTAAAATAAAAAGAAAAAAAAAAATACAGAGAAAAAAAGAATTGAAAGAAAAAATAAAGTACAGAATGATAATAAATGTACCTAATATATAAAAAAAAAAAAAAATAATATACGAAACATTTATTTGTATATAGGGGTATAAAAGAATAAAAATAATGAAATTGTAAGAATATTTTTGTTATAAATACAACGAAAAGTACAGAACATGGAAAGATAATATCTAATGTTCCGAAAATGAATGTAACTACATCATTGACGTGCGGGGTAAGGGTTAGGGAATAGAAAAGGTACTACTACAAGTAGTAAAATAATGTGAGGGAAATGAATAAAGAATAAAAATTTTTGTTGTAATTTATAATAATTTGTGCTAAAAAAAAATTTAAGATTATCTCTTGTGCGCGGATGGAAAATACATGTAAAGCTACCATTACAAAACAGCCTTTTTTTTTCACAAGGGAATCACAAATACATTGTATAAAGTGTAAACATGTGAGGCGTCGTTGTGTATATATATAAAAATATATATATATGATACAATGTACCTCCGCCACGCAAGTCTAACTGGTGAAAAAAAAAATACAAATCATAAAGGGGAATTAATACAAAAGTGTGAAATAAATCACAGATTGTCTTTTTCCCTCCGGAATATAGGATAGTAATATAAAATAAGAGAGAAAAGAATATATAATTGTGAAAAAGAAGAAAGATATATATGAAAAACAAAAATGCGAATAATTTCATTTTCATTCTTAGATGTAATGATAGCTTGGTGTTTGGTAGTCGTTCATACCAATTAAACCACCGCCCATGCTGCCACCAAAATTGCCAGTAAAATTGCCAAGATTGCCTAAACCATGTAATGGTATTCTTAGCATGTTGAGCGAGTTCAATTGCATGACTTCGCGGTGTAGTTTCCCTTGAATACGCTTGCCGTATGGAGTGTTGCGAATGGCAGGTAAAAGAGGTCGAATACAATCAACCAGCTACGAATTTAAAAAAAAAAAAAATCGTTAAAAAATTACAAATACCGTGAATAATAATAATAGTAATAAATTCTTTTTGTAATATCACACTCACTGAAGCACGTTGGATCGGATCAGCATAGTCCAAGGCTGTCTGAACCACGTAATTAGCATAGGAATCGCGCAACAGCTTGTCTAGCCGGTTCTTGTTAAGCATTTCATCGATCAAAAACTTTCGCGTGTCTGGTTCTGCGACCCTTATGCACTGTGGATCGCGAATCAATAATTGGGCATAAATGATTTAATGTACGCGCATAAGTCAAACGACAAATAAACGTGAGAGAGAAAGTTTCAATCCTACCTTTTCCATCACATTTGAACTAAACTTTTGTACCGATAAACCACACACGTTGCTAATGAATTTACGAATAAGAGCGTCCGTGAATCGACTGTCTCCAAGGTCCAAAACGTATTGTACGACATAATTTCCAAATGGATCCTAAGAGGATCAAAAAAAAATATGTTAGATTTATTTCTTAGTAAATCGCTCAACTCATGACGTCGTTCGTTACCTGAACCAATGTAAGTGCATGATACGTGATCTCCGTAACGAGCTGAACTTTTTGAGCTTCAGAAGCGTGATCGATGCAACGTTGCAACACACAGCACCCGTGACGGTGCGTAGCCACTTCAATACAATTCTTGCTCACGGCATTGTAGATGAACTAGAGTGAAATCGAGAAATGGTTTAATTCATACGCATCGATAGGTGTAAATGTAACGCGACCTTTTATAACCTACCTGATTATCCTCGGAACTCAAACGATTCAGGCATTTTTGAATAACGTGATTGCCATTCAAGTCTTTTATCAGAGTCACGACGTTTGGATTGAGAGCAACGATCACGAGGCAGATCTGTTTTTTTAACGCATAATTTGGATGGATCTGTCATTATGTAAATCTTAGGATGATAGTAAATGGTTAAACATTTTAAAAAGAGTGAAACCACGAAATCAAAATACCTGCTGAGGTGTTGACAAGAATTCAATCATTTTCTGGACGGCACGAGTACCATGCATATTTAGCGAGATGTTCACTAATTCTGGCGCCACAGTCTCTATAATTATCGTACGTTGATTATCATTACAGTACTCGAGGAGTTTTTGACAAAGATAGTTTCCAAAAGGATCTAACGGTTATTTTGGAGACGAGAAATTAATTCGAGGCACTTTCATTGTAAGGAGAATTGATAAAAATGAACCCATTTCATTCAACTACCTGTCATTAATTCAACGAAGTGACTGAAGACCTCGTTGAAGATCATCCCAATGTATTGTTCATTTTTTTCTTCGAGTTTCTTTTGGAGATATCTACAGCCATGCTGATCTTTACAAAGAGGATAAATCTCACCCACCAGATCTTCCAACATAACACCAGCAAATCTGTTCACTATTTTTTTATAAAAAAAAAAATATGCGTGAGTATAAAATAGCCGTGATTCGAGAACGGTCAATTTCACTTGATTGCGACATATTTACCTTCGAGATCGCCGCTCATCCTCTTCTGACTCATCTTGGAAAGGCCCACGTTACTCGCTTGCATTAAGTTCATATTTCTATTTAGTGCTACATTAAGAGCCAAGTTTTGATTGTAATTTAATCCAGCTGTCGTGGGTAAAATGTTCAACCCACCGATACCAGAAATTCCATACTGATTGTAGAAAGCGTTATTATTATTATTCATCGGCTGCGAAACACCAGGAAATCCTCCCGTAATTTGAGCCGGAAGATTCAAGTTGACCTGTCCTAACCCATTAAACGTGTGCGAATAAGAACATCGATCTCCACGTTGACAATACCCTTGTTGATAGAAACGACAAACGTTGCTTCCGCTGACATCCCCAGAGGTAACGGTTGGTAATTGTGCGGGATGGTTAACCTGATCATCGTCTTCTAAAAGTACGTCGTTGGCGGTGCTTGCATTAAAATTCGCTGAACGACGTCCAAATAATCTAGTCGCGCTAGCCAAATCTGGTGTTGAATACGAAGTTGATAATTTGGGAACTCGTTGCTTTGCCGTTGAAATGTTATTATTATCTACGGTCAGGTTGTCCAATTTCTTTCTATCACTCGAATCCAAAGCGCGATGGCGCGATGTGGACTGAGGTAAAGGTGCAAGGTCAAGTGCTGCAGATGATGCTGACAACTGGAATTTTTGTATGGGGTACGCACAAAGTAGGTGAATAACAGAGTACCTCATCAAATGGCATAAAAGAAAGTAAGAGAACCCTCCAATACATACCATACCCGGGTAACTATCACGACGAACCAAAATTGGAAACTTGTCATCGTCCGTATGCATTTGCAGGTAACGACAAACGTACGACGAAGACATGGGGTGAGTTGTCCCTTCTTCATCAAGCAAAAAATTTCCATTGAACTGTGGGAAGATCGAGTTATCACTGTTTGATGCATTAGTTGACATCACATCCCTACGTTGCGGCATTGAACCGATAGAAGCACGTAATTCTTTCCTACGAATTTGGAAAAAAAAGAGCGGAATTGATCAACGCACTTGTCAAAAAAAAAAAAATTCATATCAACAACATCATCATTAAAAAACACATACTCGAAATTCTCGAAAGTTTTGCCCGTCTTGTTCAGTTTTTCTTCTCTAGAGGCATGTGAGGATTCATTTGAATTACGTCGAGAATTTGGTACAGATCTGGACGAAGAATTTGATCTATGTTGAACAGACAATGATTCAGCGGCGTGGGAAGAATCGAATTGAGTGGCGTTTGGAATCAGACTTCCCACTGATGTATTGTTTAATCTCGGCACCGTGTTGGATCGAGCCCGAGTGTCATTCGTTACTAAAGAAGGTGGTGTATTCGGAGCACTTGCGCTTGCGGCTGGTACGATAAGAGTATGTGATTGGTGATTTTCTAATAAATCTCGTTCCTCTTCGAGCTGCTGAAGTTCAAGCATTTTCATCCTTTCTTCAAACAACTGGCGCTGTTCATGGCGCTGACGTTCGTGTTCCAACCTCTTCCGCTCCAGCCTCTATTATTAATGATTAATCAAAGGAAATAATTAATAATAATAATTTTTTTTTTAAAAAAAACAGAATAATGATAAAAATACATGATTGTACACAAACACATGTGCACATGTCATTATAAACAAAGTGACTTACAAGGTCAACCACCGAAGCCACAGGACTTGTTTTGCTTGTCGTCTAAAAAAAGATATTTTCACGAGATTTTTCTTTTGTTAATGACAAATCATAAACATTACAAATCATAAATCTGTAACAAAATTCGTGATCCAAATGTTGGCGAAATGATCGATCATGTCCACTTTTAAGTGGTCGGTTGTTATGAAGATTACCGTTTATGTCACACTTTTACAAATGGTCACGAAGCACAATATAATTTGTTTGTTTGTTTGTGATTGACTGGGAAAATGTTACATACCACTGTGTTTGAATTTTCCGAATCCGCGATGTTCAAGGTAGAAGCCGCAGTAACCAATAAATCCAATGACCCTCGTTCTTTATCAAGCGAACTACGTTCTACATGTATCTCCGCACCTAGTCTATCACGATTCACATCAACAGATGACGATGATGATGATTGATGAAGAGGTTGAGACAGTGAATTGTTCATATTGTGAATTCCATTTAGACCCTGACACTGACGCTGAATGCGACGAACATCCTGATCTTGTGCTTCTGACGTAGTTGATGAGTGATTATTATTGTTGGATGATAAAGTTAAAAAAGGCGAACTTGTTCTTGTTCTCTTATCTGTTGTTGATTGCATTGATTTAGTATAACCATATTCTTTGGGGAATAAAAGACTATGACTTGCGAAAAGATCACTTGTACGTGAAAGAGCGGCAACGCTCGTTGGTTCTGGTGACATTTTTTTTGGAAAATTTGCCGATGATAAATGATAATGGAATGTGGTATATGTCTCGCCTATGAATTATTGTTGAACAAGGAAAATAAAAAAAAAATAATAATAAAATAATAACAGAGTTTAAATATTTCGTTTAAAAATCTTTTTTTTTTTTTTTCTGTTTGATTTGCAAAGGCTTTGAAAATTTTTTCTTTGGTAAATGTTATTGTTATTGATTTGAAAGTCTTGGCAACCGCGTAAAGATCTGTTTATCTATGAACGTTATTTTATAAAACGAAAAGAGAAAGAAGGTATGTATGTGTGTGTGTTTTTAAAGGAATCTGTAAAGAAATATAAACAATTGAAAATATAAACAAATCAAGAAAGGGAGGAGGAAAAAAAAAAAATTTTTTTTTTAAACGTGGAAAATAATTATGAGTCCAAGTGGAAAGTGTATATATATATGATAAATAAACATATGATAAGTATGCGCATATTTTGTTGTTTTTGTTTGGTTACGCCCGGCAGAACGGACGTTCAACAACTGTTATGCACCTGCAGGTGAAGTGAAGAGCGATCGATAATCCGGAAAAAAGGATTTATAAATTTGAGAGGGGAAACTGGCAAAAGTTTATCGCATAGACGAGTTGTTGTGTGTTATTTTCTGGTCGAAACACGTCTCACCTCGCAAAGACACACAGAGGTAACGCCAAATCCACAAACAACGCGTTAAAAAACGCAAAAAAAAAAGTGAAAGAAAATAACCAAAATAGAAAAACAAAGTCTTCCGCGGAAACCCGAAACTATTTCGACTGATGGGAACAAGTGGGAAAGAAAACATGAAGGTGCGAACAAAAGAGATCAACTTACCCAAAGACTATTCTTGTTTATTGACTATATAGTTGTAGTATTATTGTTAGAGAACACGTAACAAAAAGAACAAAAGAGGTTTGGATTTATTTTAACTAAAAGAAACGGAGTTGGTTTTTTTTTTTTTTAAAAGAAAAAAAAAAAAAAAAAGCGGGCTTTTTTTTAAAAAGGTGTTATGTGTGTACTAGTTATATAAATATTGTTTTGATAAAAGTTTTTAAACCTGTTATTTTTTGAAAAATAAAGTAATCAAACATAACAAGAGGTCAGTTGTGTAGGATAAAAAAAAAAAAATAAAAAGTTAGTCATGAAAAAAAAAAGTAACAGAAATCAATGCAAACTTGCCAGAATGGGGGAGAAATTTGATGGGGAGAGAAAGTTTTTTTTTTTGTGACTGAAAAATTTCGTTCTATGTTATATAATAATTTTAATATAATATATATATATATTTTTTTTCATAATAAATAAAATTATATATAAATATAAAATATAAAAATACTTCATGAATAATATAGTTTGTTTTCAACAATAAATAAACCGGTTATTTTGTTTATATTTGGGGTTAAAATTTTTATGGATAAATTTTTTTTCAGCGACTACTGAGAGATTTTTTTTCCGGAATAAAAATAATGATTAATTTATTTTTTTTTTTTATACACACAACACACATACATAATAATCGTTCCAGCGATTTAGTATGATCTATTCATATTATTTGAATTTATTACGGACTAAAACTTTTGTCATGACAAGGAAAATTAAACAAGCAAGACATTTGCATACATAGCGGGGATAAAAAAAGGTGAAGTGTTGGAGGGTGTACGCTATTTAGTAGGTTTTAAAAATTCTAAGAATGACCGCAAATCAAATAGAATTTTCGGCAAAGGAGTTATTATTGGTTAGACCAGATGCTAAATCGATATTAGGGAATCATCATAATGATTTTTATTAAAAAAAAAAAAACGGCATTTCTTTGGGTTTATTTACGCAGGATTTAGAAGATGAAACTCACAGATGCAAGTGTGGTGTCTATCATTATTTGAGAAATCGTTATTATCAAAGTTTCCATTGGATTAACCGAGATTTTTTTTTTGGATTTACTAAATTTTTTTAATTTAAGAATTTAAATTTTATGCTTAATTATGTGATGATGTGATGATAGTATTCTATGTAACAAAGATTACTTAAGGAATTTTTATTTTTCACATGTTTGATTTGTTAATTTTTGACCATATAAAAAAAGGTGATACAAATTGAATTTTATCAAAAAAAAAATAATTTTCACTGAAAAAAGAATTATTTTTTCCATATTTTTCTTTTTGGTCATATTAAACGATAAAATATCTCTTCTCTTCTTTAAAGAATTAAAAACCTTCTTTTATTCTCATGACTCCTTTTTTTTTGTGACGTTAGAGAGAGAAAAAGGAGGGAATACGCCATATGATTCATCTTTAATAAAAAAATAAAATAAAAACAAATAAAAAAAAATTTTTTTTTTCTTTTGGTCCATCTCTAACCAACTCGAACCTTTATTAAGTTACAATTGGCGTTTTCTCTTGTAAAAACAATTTCTTTTGGTAATAGAAATTTTAATGAGATCTTTTTATTGTTACATTGGTCTTGGTTTTTTTTTTATTTTAATCTTTTTTTATTTTCTTTTGTAGTCCCCATTTTTTAAATGAAAAAAGAATATGATTTATACAGTGTTAAGATAAATTAATGACAGGTTTCGATTCAGGACGAACGGTAAATGGCGGTCGTTGATCTTCAGTTTACATCATTACCCGTTGAAAAAAGCATGATTGTATTAATTGTAAAGTAAATTCTAATTTATACAAATCGAGATGAATTGGCTTTTTATTCTCGTGGCTTTTTGTTGTTATTGGTTCTTGACCTGATAAAAGCTGGAAGACCGCAGTAAATGTATTAAATAACAACAACAATAAATAATAAATATTGTACACTTTTAGAAATCTTTTAACAAAAAAAAAAAAAAATCTCTCTTGCCACAACTGAATGATGTTCTGTGCTCCAAACAGAGTTTAATTAACGACCGAAAAACTAAACTTTTAATCGTCAAATCTTTTTTTCTATTCATTTTTGAAACGTGATGAATCGAATACTGCGATGGAATTCTTTCTTCTTTACAATCAAGTTGATTGTTGTGTCCAAAACCGAAATCTCACATGAACAAAATTAAAAAAATGCGAGTTTTGCAACGCCAAACAAACCCCTTTGAAAGACCTTCTACTTTTATTCGTATTTTTTTCCCCAAATCAAACTTATCTGCGACATCGAAAAATTTCATAAATGATTCCATTTCATCTTTTACCATTTATGGGACGAAACATACGGAAACATCCGGACTTAAAAGTAATTGTGGTGTTTCCCAAATATTTCAACACTTGAAAGTTTTTTTTTTTGGTAAGGAGGATGAAAAAATCCGGTTTGTAGAAACTCAATTAACATGAAAAAAAAAGACAATACTTTGACAACATATTATTATTGACTATTCTTAGAACTGTTTATAGGGGAAAAACTCGTATTTTTGAAAGGTACTTTTTATTTCATCATTAGCAGTTAGATTTTGTTTACAAGTGGAAATATATTAAATAATTCTTTATTGTGGTGACGCAGTAAAGATCGAAAGTAATTTTCGATCTATTTTCGATCATGATAAATATTTAGTCATAACAAATCTTGGATTTAACAAATGACGTTAAACCACCTTTTTTTTATTAAATGCAAACAACGTTTTTTGATTAATTTTTTTTATATTTTATTTGACGACCAAAAAAAAAAAAAAAAAAAGAGCTCATGATGATATTTTTTTTTGACGATAAAAAAGATCCAAAAAAAAAAAAGATCCGCGGACAATTTGTGAACCAAAGTTTTTAGATTCGAACAAATTGCTGGGACAGAAAAAATCAAGTTATCCCACTTAAAGTAAACAAAAATATTAACCATGTGTCTCGGAAATTTTTTTATTTTATGTATAACATGAAAAATTTTCATATATTATTATAAATTTTTGTGTTCAAATTAAACTTTGTGTTCTGCAGTTTTATTTGAATTTTTTATATGGGAAAGGGAATCATTTGACCATCTTTTTTTATCAATCGTCGTTGCACGAACCACCCAAATATTTTCTATTAATAAACCTGCACATTCATTAAAAAAGTATTAAAAAAATGTATATCATCCCAATGCATATGATTCAGAAAATTTTTTCCTTCATAAAAGGCTAAATTCAACCGGAGATTTCTTCATCCTTTTTTTTTTTTTTTTTTCTTTTTTCTTTCTTTATCGTTACATCAATATAATATCTCCGAATGTGATAAATAAAAAAAATTTGTTTGTTAATCCAACTGTTGACAGGATCAGATCCCGTGAAAATCCCATATTATGATTTATTGCGTCAACGAGAATTCAAAGCGTTTTTTTTTTTTTTCGATCAATTTCCTTTTCCAGGAATTTCCGTTTATTTATTTATTTATTTATTTTTTTTTTACTATTTTAAAAAATAAAAAATTTTTTTATTATTTTAAAATGAAAAAAGGGTGTGTCAATGTTTATCAATTAGCATTCACACTTGAACGTTTCACCCATTTTTTCTTTTTTTTTTTTTGAACAGCCATGAAAAAACTAAAAAGCCAATTAAAAGCCTCAAACAATTTACGGTAATTACATTTATTTGAACATGAGGATATCATGAGTATTGATCGAATCACTAATCGCCACTCCAATCCCACCAAAAGAAAGTTTAAATAAACCTGTCATTATTCATTTTCTTTTAATAGAATGTTTGTATTTTCGATTGAACATTTCCTTCTTCCTTTCCTTTTTAAAAACTTTTTTTAAAAAAGATAAATGCTTTAGATATTTATTATCAATTTCATCACTATGATGGGGAATGATGGAATGGTATTTTAAATTCATGATGATTGGTTGGATTGGTTTTGAATGGGAGATGTGGAAAATGAAATTTTTTATTTTAAAAAAAAAAAAAAAAACTGGATTAAGTTGGGTTAAAAAGGATTTTTGCTTTTGAATTCTTGATTTCGTATTTTATGGGATTCTCCCGTTTTAATATAAATAATTTGATATGATATATTTGTATTTTTAAATCAATTTAACTATAAAACAAATCATTGTATTTCCATGATACGTTGTAAGATTTATATGATTCATTTTATTTTTGAAATAAAACAACTTTTTTTCAAAACAAGATAAATAAAAAATAATTATTTCCTGTTATCTTATAATCAATTACTATCATTATTATTTTTCTCTTTCTATATTATTAAATAAATGATCTCTAACCATTTTTAATCTTTCAATAGCAGTTTTTTGGTGTTTTAAACCTTTATCACCATCATCATCATGTTTACTATAATTATTTAATTCGTTCTTCGCTTCGTTAATTAATTCTTTTAAAAATGTTGGAATACCATAGATATCATCCGTATATGAGATTCTTGATAAATATTCATGAATATCTTTGGATTCTAAAAATTCTTCAATAAACTTTGAATTCACATCATTTTTCGAAATCGAGTCTTGATACTCTTCTCGACAATTTTCTAAAAAGTTATAATCTTTTTGTCGATTGGATGTTAGTTGACTAAAATCTTCATGATATATTTGTTCCGTATAATTATTTGAATTTAAAAAATCTAAAATTTCATTCCCATCCTGGATACTTTGATAATTGGTTTTATGAGGATTATGATGATGAAATGGATATATATGTGAAGAATTTATTGATCTTGCCGAAGGACATGGGTCAAGGTTCCATCGTTTCCAATCGGTATCCAACCCACAATTAGTTTCATGGTCGTTTACTTGACTATGAATATTATTATAATCATTATTACCATTATGTACGTCATAATGCTGATTTAAAACATTTTGCTGCCATTCTCCTTGTTGCAAAAATGTCGTAGATGACGAACTTTGTAGTTTTGGATTATTATTTTGTCGAAGTAAAGAATTTAAGGCGCTAGCTGTACTAGCTCCATTTGAAGGATTTAATGCTTCACGAAGCAAAGTTGCAGAATTACTTAAGGTTGATGAAATCGATTTTGACTTCCCTTTATCTTTTGATGCATCCGTACTTGAATCATTTGATTTATTATCTTGATTGGACATGATGACTCTGGGTTTTTCTTTTTGCAAAGAATACATTTTGCTTTTATAAAAAAAAAAAAGATTAGCCTGATCACGTTTAACCAATCAATTACGTCAAAAGAATTATCTACACCGCAGTAAATGTATATATTTCTTTAACTATCGACCTTTAATCTTAAAATCATTTTATCTTCATTTTGTCCTTCTTTTAATTCTTCATCGCAGACTATTTCCGTTATCTCAAATGCATTTAGTAAAGTTATGGCGGTTTGAAGCCGATGTAGATGGTCTTGTTCTGGTGGAAATTCCAAGCTCAATTCATTGATGTATATTTCTTTGTTTTCAGCATCGAGTAATATTTCGGCAATACGAGCGACCGTGCTACCAAGATCATCCGTTGGGAATAAAAATTTACATAATTTTTTCATGTTCTCTATGCCACTGGCTCTTAATTCTTTTTGATATTTTATATTTCAAGGCGTGTTAAAAAAAAATTCAGCATTGTTTAAAGGCATGTAAGGAAGTCTTACCTTGCGCGCAGTCAATTTGGTTTGAAACGAATTCGGGTTCTACTTCATTTCTTTCCTCTACCGAGGCTTTACGAGGCAGCAAATTGTTGAATAAGTTTTTAAATCAAAAAAAAATAAATAAAATTGCCGATATATATTACAATCGAAAATTACCTTCCTCCAAAGTATCTTCAAATAACGTTGAGCAAGAGGGCATTAAAAAAATCAAAAAAAAAATTCTATTGATAATATTGAATCAACCTTACCTTGCACACGGGATCCAATCTCAATTTGGCTTAAAGCGTGTTCGAGTTGTTCCTCCTCTATCAAATCTTAATACAAAATAATCAACTCGTTAGAATAAATAATTGCATCAAAAAAAAAAATAAAAACATCAATAGATTACCTTCCTCGAAAGCATCTTCAAATTCATGTTGAGCTTCAATTATTTCATTTAAAACTTGAGACTAATTAATTCAACGATTTATGTGTCAACGATTGATTCAATATCGAACTGTCTTTATCGATCACAAGGCATAAACTGCAATTAGAACGGAGAATGACATACCTGCTGTTCGCATTCTATCTCCAACCTTTTCACCTTTTTCTTTAACTCCATCAATTCTTTTTTTACATCCTTTTGTTGCTTTTTTTGTTGAGCTTGAGATGAATGCTTTTTAACCTTTTCATTTTGTTTTGATTCTAATTGTTCTTTTTTCATTTCCAGTTCGAATTCAATCTCGCGCTTATCCACCTTTTTTTCACGAATTGATCAGCGTTATATTTATTTTTTGGTCATCATTAAAATAAGATTATCCATATAAGTATCAAACCTCCTCCTGGAGCGTATTATCCTTCTCTACTAATCCTTGTAATATTTCTTCTGCTTTTGATAAAAGAGCGTTGATGCGAGGTTCAAGCTGCACCGCTAATGAATTTTGAGCATCACGTATCTCCGGTTCGGTCACTAGTTCACATACCTATTTCATGAATTATGACGAATTATTTGAAACAATATATATATAATACAATTATCAAACAAAAATGTGTAAAACTAACTCTTTGGCAAGCAAGCAATCTCTTTATCCTTGAAAATTCACGAGAACCACTTTCTAATTTGTGTATAGACCTTTGAAGCTGTAAAAAAAAAAAAAAAAATATCAATACAAATAATTTTGATATGCATAATTAACGTACCTTTGACGAGCTGTCTTGAAGACGGTCTACACATTGTTCAAGACTTTGGATATAGGTGTTTGGAATTCGAGAATCGTCGGAAACAAAACGTGCATCGATCCTTCTTGGCGTCATTATCGCTAATTGAAGAAAATGATGAAACTAATTGAATCAATCGCATATAAAATCACGTGTTGTCGATTCAATTTACGCGTTTTACGTCAACGTATTTTTTTTTTTTTTTTAAAAAAATATATATAACAAAATAAACAAAAACCATTTTCTATTCTTAAATATGGAGGAATTTAAAAATATAGAATTAAGACCAAGGATCGCGGAGGCCCTAAAAGACGGTATATAATAACGCCAATTATATACACGTTTCTGCGCGGTTTTCACGTTATTTACTTATTTTATTTATAGCAAAATTTGAAACTGTGTCAGATGTAATGCATCGTAGTGAAAAGGAGCTTTCAAAGAAATTAAAATTATCATCAAAGGATGTAAAAGAACTTGTCCAATGTATAGCACTAGAAATAATAAAGACACGTCCACTATTGTTCCCACTCACAAATGCTCTAAAAATGCTTAATTCTGGAGAACAACGTATGCTAACGACCGGTGATGCCATAATTGATAAAATCCTTGGTGGAGGTATTATGTCATGTGGAATTACAGAGATCGTAGGTGAGAGGTAAATAGATATTTGATAGGAAGTATATAGAAAATAGTTTAAATTATAATGTTTGGAACAATTATTACATCATATAGCTCTGCTGGAAAAACACAAATGTGTCTTCAACTTTGTTTGACAGTTCAAATGCCAATAGAATTAGGTGGACTTGAAGGAGGTTTGTTTCCATTTCAAAGTTCTTAACGGTCAAAGCAATTTCTAAATCAAAACATTATATTGATACAGGGGCTGTATATATATCCACCGAAGGAAATGTCCAGATGTTAATAAAACGAACGCAACAAATGATTCGTTTGTTCAAGCATCGACATGATATTCTGAAGGATGTCAATTTGTCAGATGAAATCAAATACATTACAGTCCCTGATCTGGACACCCAATATCAGGTTTTACATTTACAATTACCAATATTACTTTCTCGGAATAAGATACGACTGGTGATAATCGATTCCATTGCAGCCAACTTTAGAGTTGCGTATAATTCATCTGACGTTTCCATATTGCGCCAACGATCTAAAGAACTTTGCAAATTAGGAACAAAGTTCAAGGAAATAAGTGATCAGTTTCGATTACCAGTGATTTGTGTCAATCAAGTTTCTGATTTATTTTCTAAAAATGATATCAGGGAATTTATTGGAAATAAAGATGACAATTTTTGGGAATATGACTATTATCAGAGACAATTATTAGTCGGAAAAGGTTCGAAAATCCCTGCATTGGGATTGTTGTGGTCAAATATGATTAATTCAAGGATCATGTTATCCAGGGCCGATAGAACGTTAATAGGCATTGGAGACAAATGTCAAAGAACAATCACATTAATGATGGCTCCTTATGCACCAAGACAATGGGGTGAATTTTATATTGATATCGAAGGGATACATGGAAAGGTTAACTAATATTGCATTAGTAATTCTCAAATACAAGAAGTGTTCAAAATAAATTATAAAATATACCAATGTTACATTATTTTTTTTCTGAATCTTGTGGTTTTGGTAAAAGATTCTCAACTTTGAAGGAGTCGGGTCTATCATCGCGACCAGGACCTAATGTATATGATATTGGATGTTAAATTAAGGTTCATTAAAGGAGATGAATTTAGCATCACGTTTCCTTACCTGTTTGTTCCCAAGGGGAAGCACTCCCTTCAAAATTTCTAAATGCTTGTGTCAATTCCAAGGGTTCGGCGACGACTCGTTTTCTTTCCTCATCATAGCGAACTTCAACGTAACCAGTCAAAGGAAAGTCTTTTCTTAGAGGATAACCTTCAAACCCATAATCCGTTAAGATCCTCCTTAGATCAGGATGATCAGTGAAATATATTCCAAACATATCATAAGCCTCTCTCTCGAACCAATTTGCCCCATTAAAGAGAGGAGTAATAGAAGGGACAGGTGTAACTTCATCGGCATATGTTTTCACCCGAATTCTTGCGTTATAACGAAGACTTAGCATATTATAAACAACTTCAAAACGATTTGAACGTGTAGGATAGTCAACACCGCAAATGTCCATAACCTGTTTAAATTGTGCACCTGTATGATCACGTAAAAATGTCATTACAGGAATAATGGCGCTAGGGGCAATGTGAAGTGATAGCTCATCCTTATAAACCGAATATTGTTGTATATATTTCGGAAGCATGGATAAGAGATGTTTTCCATATTCATGTAGCGATTCGTTACTATGTTGTTTTGTTGCATTAGTTTTAGAGTCAGCTGTTTAGAAAATTGATAAATAAAAATAAAAAAAAAAAAAAAAAAAACTAAATACGAATCCGACTAATAAATGAAATAACGATTCCTTTAAATTCTTGAATTTAAAAGATTCTGACCTTGTTTAAAAACCGATGTAGAATGAAAATTGAATTTTGTGGTCGCTCCGTAAATTTGATAAAAATTCATTCTAGCTGCTTGGAAGAAGAAAGTGAAAACGTATAACGTATTAAAACCAATTTAAAAAAAGTATCGATAATGAAATATTTCGTACTTGTACGATTCGTCATATGTTGTAAGCCATTGAGCCGGCGAACAATGGACGATGCCAATGAAACCATGATAAATTATATAAGTTAAAGAATTAAAATAAATAATTCAGTTATTTTTTAATAGCATTCTTTTCGGTATAAAAAAAAAATGGATATCACATGACATTAACAAAAAAAAAATTCGATCATTAGCAAAAATTTTCAATTTGTGACGCAATTTTTTTTCTTTCTATAATATTTTTCACAATGCGCGAAGAAACAAAGGTCTGAATAGTTCTTAATTAAATTAAACCATACATATCTAATCTTTTATTAAGTTAATTGTCTATTTAATTATGTTCAATAGGAAAAGATACTCAAAGCTACAGAAATTGCTAAAACCATTGTACATTGGGGATTTATTCCGTTCATACTCTACCTTGGTATAAATTAGATCGAATATATTTTTATCTATTGATAAAGGATTCAATCACAATAACGAATTTTTTTATTTTTCAATAATAGGTTATATTAAAAGCGAACCAAAACCTTCCTTGATGAAGTAAAATTTTTTTTCAATTCAATGTGAAAATTTTCAGAGAATTTACTTTATTTATTAATTTAATTTTTATACATAGGATGATTAGTCCGCTTGCCGGTTAAAAAAAAAAAATACACGAATATTTGAATAATTGTTTTACAAATCAAAATGATGTAATAAATACATTTCTACAAGATAGAAACGTTAAACATATCAATTTACAAAGTGATGGTAGGAAAGTCACCTGTAGGATTAGATAACTTTGTTGGTGTGGTAACAAGATTTTCGGAAGTAATGCTCGCTATCGAATCTTCCACAATACTTTTTCTATTATTATTATTATTATTGGAATTATTTGAATTTGAAGGAGACATCCCAACAAAACCTCTTCTGTCCCTTCTTCTCATGAATAATTTCCAATTATTTTTTAATTTACCTAAAATTCTATCCATGTCTCTTTGTTTATCATCATCAGAAAGAACTGATGATAAAATGTATGACATTTGTAGCATACGAGTTGCTGTATCTGTTACGGGAATACCTGAATCGAAATCGTGAAATAATTTATTGAACGCCTCTGGAAAATAATAATAATAATAACGCGTTTTAGCCAAAGAAACATCATTATTTGCGTAGAAAAGTAAAACCATTCGCACGAGTAAAATACCTTCGACACGATTGCCCATGGGCAAAATCACATGATCCCGAAAACTCATCAATACCAAACGTCTAATACTTTTGTGATTTTGTTGTGTAGTAGAATTGTGTATTTGTAATGGGAGAAAAACTCCCTCGAAATATGGAATTACGGTACCAAAATAAAATGACCATAATTCAACCAAACGAGAGACCAATTTTTCATCTGGAACACCTATTAATTTTCCATTCAACGTAAACATTCCCGACTCTAGAAGTTCGTTTATTTCTTCGTAGAGTAATTTTGTTGACCTATCACTTATACATCGCCTATTACATAAGATTGGATTGTGAGGAGCCGATATCTAATTAGGCATAATGTTACGAGAAACTCTTGTTTACCTTACTAACTCATTCAAATCCTCAATGCATAATTTTAACCCTTCGCCATTAAACAACGGCAAGACTTTTACCACCAATGATCCCCAAGTATCATGTTGTTGTCCTCCTTGCTCCATTTTTTCCAACTCTTTTGAAGTTACAGGTGTATCATAAACCATATTCATTTTATGATGTGAAATTGATGATGTTTGTGGTATGTACGGCGTTGATGTTACTGAGTTATTATCTTTAACAGAGATCGATCCAGTGGAAAGTGATTTCTCATGAAAAGGGCTAGAAGAAAACGAATACATCGTAGAAGTTGAATGTGATCTTTCCATCTGTGGGATCAATGATGATGATGTTATATGATTATTATTACTATTATTATTATTATTATTATTGTTATTATTGTTCATTGAAGAGGAAAAAGAAACGATTGAAGATGCACTTGATGATGTATTACGACTAGAAAATGAGGTCGCTCTCGTTGTACGATAAAGTTGCGGAACAAAAGGAAAATTTGGGCTTTGGTTTTGATGATTTTGATACAGATTTTGATTTAGACTATGATTTTGTTGTTGAGGAGTATTATTCCATACTTCATCCGTAGAAGTTGATGTATTGGACGTTCCTGTTTCTATCTCTGCCCTTTCCGGGACAGGTCCTACATAAGTTGAAGCTGAAGAAGAGTATGATGGTAAACTTGTACTAATAGGTGCACGAAGGTGCTGTGAAAATGATGACGCTGAGGATGTAGTTGACGTACTTAAAGAGTTAACTGTTGATCGAGGCGATTCGCCAATTTCATTTATCGGATTTAAACTCATGGTTGAATAAGAAAGGAAAAAAAAAAAAGGTAAAAAGTTAAAAGAATTTTTGACTGATTTTCCGTGTCAATGGTTTTTTTAAGCTTTACCCAGTTAGGAAGTTGGTGGGACAAACGGTAAACTTAAAAAAAAAAAGTGCCATGAAGAAATTTTCGCGTAATTGTATGCTAATGGATATTATGAATTGGCTTCCTGAAGCAGGAACATGTTGTGTTATTTTACTTCTAATAATAGTGGCGCTTTTATCCATTATAGTTTTAGGAGGGTTCGATAAGCTCTCTTCAACTATTAATTTGCTGTTATTTCCACCTGCTTCCCCCCCAGAGAGGAATGTACCAGAAACAAAGGAAGTATGTTCATCAAGGTAATTTAATGATAAAGCTTGGTTTTAGCAGAGTTCATTTATGATCATCAATTTATTATTATGTTTTTTACTTGATTTATAGGATAACAATGACAGAAATAGTTTTACCTTCGCACGCTGATACTCGCGGTTTTGTATTTGGTGGTGTTATCTTGGAATGGATAGATCTTGCAGCAGGATACTCTGCAAAAAAACATGCCGTCTATCCATGTGTAAGCGTATTTTCCTTAAATTAAATTCCATTAAAAATCGTAATTCAATTTAAGGATTTATAAATGATTATTATTTACAGGTTACGAGAAGTGTTGATGCCGTTCATTTTATGCATCCTATTAAAGTTGGTGATTTTCTTATAATAGAGGCTAGCGTCAATCGTGCATGGAATACTTCGATGGAGGTAAATTGATTAATTCCATATGCTATGTTCTATTTTTTTTTTTTTGATCTAATGCTTTTATCGTTGTCTAGGTTGGCGTTCGCGTCGAAACCGAAAATCCTATTACAGGAAAGCGAAAGTATTGCTGTCATGGTAATATTCTTATTGATGATATTCACCTTTTTTAGTTTTTGTTATAATTCATTAACTATTTAATAATATATAGCATATCTGACTTTTGTTGCTCTCAGTGGCAGTTCAAAGTCTGTGGGTAAACTTCTCGGAAGACATCGTAATTTGACCGCAAAGGTTCCTCGTATTATTCCAGTAACACCGATTGAACAGCAACGTTTTGACTATGCAGAGATCAGAAGGCAGGTGAGATTCACGCAAACTGATTCCGAATTTTGTTAAACGCGTCATGTGTATAGTCATTTATGTTTTGTTCTTTTTGTAGGCACGTGTAAAAAAATCAAAACATACAGATGATAAAGGTCAACGTGAACAACATAAGTTAGAAGCGTTAAGGGAACTTTTGCGTAAATGGTCGGAACATCATAATACGGAAACAAAAAGTACGGCAGAACTACCACCTCTTCTACAAGAACCTGAATCATATAGCGCCGATTCGAATGATCCCGCAAATGTATATCTCATCCGACGAAGCTCAACATTTAAAGGTCTTCCTATACAGCCTGATACAAAATGTAGTTCTGAAAGTTTTGCAGAAGTTGTTGAAACAGTTTTACCCCAACATGCAAACACATTACAGGTAACAATAAAATATGATCGGTTTGTTGTTGATGATATGTATTTTATTGATTCGTTTTTAAATTAATATTTAATTGAAAGATTACTTTTGGTGGTCAAATCATGAAATGGATGGAACAATGTTGCCTTGTTAGCGCATCAAGGCATTCAAGACGATTCCTTTTATTGGCAAGGTTGATAATGAATGAATTCTAAGCGGTTTAAAGCAAGTTTCTAATTAAAAAAATTTTTTTTATTTTATTTTTTTTTTTTACATTTATTATTATGTAGTATAGACTCACTTCAATTCATTAGACCGACATATGTTGGTGATTGTATGAATCGATAATCATTATAATATTGATAATATTTTTCCTTGATATTGATATCACTAAACTTTATAATTATATTATTTTTAACAGGTATAACAGTTCGATCAATTGTTTCTTGTACGTTTCATTCAAGTTTGGAAGTATACGTTTCTGTAGAAGCTGGTAAGTTACATGATGAACTCGTTTATTCTTGTTATTTAGACCTTCTTATTTATAATTTCTCTTTAAGAAAACCTGATGACAGGAGAAAGATTTTTTACAAACGATGGTTTTTATACTATGGGTTAGATCGATTTATATATATATATTTTTTTTTACAAAATTACTTTATTCATGTCGTTATAACTTCTTTTGTAATTTTGAAATTAGTTGCTGTTGATTCTCACAACGTGCCAACACCAGTTCCACAAACTATTACAGATTATGAACAAGAGTATGAAGTATTCAAAGATGCTGAATTTAGAAGGAACACAAGGCTTCAACAACGAAGAGAATTGATTCAAAAAGAAATGGCTGCCCATCCTAAAGAATTTGAAAAGGTATGTTCGAGTTTTTTAAAATTAACTTTTTTTTGACCTCTAACCTTTTATTATCCATTTGTAGTATACACATGAGAATGAAAACGAGAGTCCAATCAATTCATGAATAATTTGTACAATTTATTTTTATTTATATCATAGATTTTTAATTAATTATATTCTCGCTAACGTTATGAATTTAATAAATTGTTCACGCAAATATGAATTTGGACTATAAACAAAAGTTTTTAATTAATCAATGCTTGGTATTTAAAAAATATATATATTTTGCAATATATATATATGTAAAGAAATAAACATGATATCTGCATATTAAAATAAAATCATTCACCAGTTTTAATGACTACAAATACATTTCAAATAATATTCTTTAACTCAACTTTTTTTTCTTTTATATAGATAAAAATGAAACCTAGTATTTTTTTTTTCCCCCTCTCTCTTTCAAGTCCTTTTATATAAACCCTACTTATATATAACTTTCTTTTTTTCTTTTCTACTTCTTTTAAATTTTATATTTTTTTCTTCTTTAGTTATTATATATATTAGCTTCTTTAATTTCTTTTATACAAATCTCTGATTAGATATTAAAAAAAAAGATTTCCCAAAATTTTTGGGTAGGTTATAAAGTGAAAAGAGTGGTAATGGTGATATTAATAACAAAAAAAAAAAAGCTGATAATTCATCAAGGCACAAGATTTAAAATAAAAATAATAAAACCCAAACAAAAAAAAATTACAATACGCCATTAAAATAAAATATTATTCGTTCTATCCGTTCTTAATTAATTTCTTTCTTACTCATGATTGTTGCATTTGTTGCTGAAAAAATTAACAAAAGAATTTAAATGAACAGAAATAACTTTATACTCAAAATATATAAAATAAAATCAAAAATACTCACCCTATAATTATTCCCTCGGTAATTGCTAGTATAGCCACCTCTATAACCACCACTTGCACCGCGACCTCCACGGTATCCTCCTCTGCTTCCTCGGTAGCCACGACCACGATAACCTCCGCGATATCTTCCACCATCGATAGACACTTGTCCAAAGGTTTCAAGATTCAACCGTCTTTCTTCTGATTGTTTTTGTCTTCTTTCAGCAACAGATAAACTACGACTGATATTAAGAGTCAAAATATAATTAGAAGTGATGCGGGTTTACAAAGATAATTCGATTAATAAATGTCTTACCGGCCGTCTGGACCCTGTTGCTCTAAACGTTCTTTGGTTTCACAAGAAATATTATCAAAAAATGATTTGCTTCTATCATAATAACTTTCAGCAGGTGGTATCAAAATGTCTTCTTCCTCTTCCTCTTCACCTTGTCCATCTAAAATTTCTTCCTCCTTTTGGTCATGAGGATGAGTTTTCTTAACAACTTCTTTGACAATTTCTTCCTTATTAAATTTGGCGTTCGATGATTCAAAATCGAAATCAGATTGAGGGACAGGAATTCTGTTACGATCGTAATTTTGATTGTAATTTCGTCGATTTCCACGACTTCTACGATTTTGCTGCAAAAGATGCCCACCCATACCGGGAAGCCTATTATTGCTTGGAGCAGAGGAACGAGTATGGTTACTTACAGCTATAAATTGTATATAAATAAATAAGTTGTGCAAATAAAATAACAATATACAAACAAAGACTTTTTTTAATCAGGTTTAACCTTGTTTTTCAACGTTAGTTTCTTTTGTTGTTGTTAAATGAATTTCGCTGACTTTCTTGGCCAAATCTTCGACGGCGGACGTTGAAGGGACTTCCTTAGTAGGTTCATTATTTCTATTATTCGCCGTAACAGAGGTAGACCGTGAACTCGTGCCCGTCTTGACGAGATTTTTGACTGCTGTAGATTTATCCGGTTTAGGCTCTTCAACCTTGTCAGGTGCTGAATGTTCTTTCTGTATTCAAGGAGTTAGGTATTTGGTATGAAACATGGACCTTATAGGAGCTGCGTTAATTAATCATTGAGTAAATTTTGCTGCCAAAACTGCAGACCTGTATTTGTGACTTTGGCTGTTCAGCTTCTTTGGCAGCGGGCTCTGAGATGTTGCTATTCAGCTAACCGTTCCACGAAGAAAAGATAAATTCAAGCGGAAATTTAACAAATTATTCCAAATTTGGTAATAAGAAGAATGATGTAAATATCCTCGCCAAAAAAATTTTTTTTTATGCTAGCCAATTAAAAAAGACCACTCGTGTTCATGAATAATTTCTCATAAAAACGGATGAGTAACATTTATTTGGCAGGCATCAAAAAAATTATTTTGTTAAATGGTAAAAAACACACCTGTGGTTGAGGAACTTGCGGTTGTTGCCAATATTGTGGCTGTTGTTGAAAGGATGCAGCAGCTACTTGTTGAAGATAAAACGGATGTGCTCCAGCGAAATTAGGTGGATTAGGTGGGAGTTGTACTCCAATTGTTGGTGGAGCAAAACTCTGAAAACTTGTTGGTCGAGGAGCAGTAGTCTAATATAGATAATTTATATTAATAATTTATGAGAAGTGTACTAAAAAAAAATATTCTTTTTTTTTAATAAATTTTTGTAACTCGGTATTTATCGAGAAATCAGTAGGAAGGCAACATGGAATTAACAACATTATGAAATTCAGTAATTCAAAATAATATCCAAGATTTTTCATCATATCTTCAGACAAATAACGAACGTTATCTAGATAGGGCTTGACAAGAAAAGACCCATCCTTGATAGATTTTTTAACATTATAACCAAATTTTACAAAACTCTCACCCCAAGAATCGCAGGATCGTTAGGAACTTGAGGAGGTAAAGATTGTTGTTGAGCAGGGGCTTCACAAACATGCAAATCTTTTACATCCGAACCACGAAATACAATGTATTCAAAAACATTGTCGGAAGGAGGAATTTCCTCAGAAGGACTGCCTCGACGACCCTCCGTTCCATAAGAGCGAACTAAAAATATATATATATATATATATATATATTTTAGATAATTGTTAATGATGTATTGCTATTAAACCTTCTCTCCTTTAATAATGAACCACCTTTTTACTATTTTAATTTTGTAATTAATGATATTAAAAAGAACCACTCATGATTCTACCTGACTTTAAAAAGAAAAAGGAACTCGAGATGTAAAGGAACTTTTTTTACTGGCTTCATTGTTTATTATTATTATTACTATAATAAAGAGACTTAAAGCCTTATATAAAGTGCAAATCAATTAAACAAACCTTGTTCAAGAGCTACAGTTGAATCGGCTGAATTGATGCTATGTAAAATGCCCACATAACGAATGTCGGACCTTGAAATGAGACTGATCTTGGACCCAATATATCCAGTGCTCATCTTTGTCTGTGAGGGGTATACACCTCAAGTCTGTAAACGTTGAAGGTTAAAAATTCCAATATGAAAGAAATGGCGGTGCAACCCAGAAGTTCTTGATATAGTTATGAAAAAAAAAAAAAAAAACTACAAAAAAAATTTAGCAAAAATTTCTTTTATAAAATAATAGTGTTCTGGATGACGAGTGACACTTAACACACCCTCGTGAAGTTTTGAATTACTACTTTCATATATGTTGAAAGTGTTTCTTAATCGGGTGATAATTCTTTAACAATGACATTTTAAAACAAATTACAATTTTAGTGTAGGCAAAAAGATGGCTTATGTTAATAAAACAAGGATAAGATTTTCATGAAAATACACTATTTTATTGATTTAGTAAATAACTATACCAATTAAATTCTTTTTTAATACATTAATTAAAGCTAGTTAATTAAAAAATAGATAAGAAAAATACTTGATCATTTATTAATATTATTTTTTTTTAAAAAATCTGATATTTATATAGTTCCTTTAGAATAAATATATTAATATTCTAATAAAGTTTAATGATAAATTAAAATAAAATAAATTTTAATATAACTTAAATTACATTAAGTTAAAATATTAAAATTTTCAATTTAATTTATTTAGCTTAATTTTTAAAATTTAAATTTAAGATAACTTGATTAAATTAATTAGTTAAAACTTTAGAATTATAGTATTAAATAGATTAAAAATAATAATAATAATTAGAAATCTTTTTAATATTTTCTTTTTTTTTAAAAAAAAAATAACTTTAAATTTATAATTTATATATAACAGTTTTGCAAATAAATTTTGAAATTAATTATTTAAGTTAAAAATTAATAAAAATTATTAGTAAATTTATTTGTACTTTTTTACTATTAAAGTGATAATTTTAAAAATATATTATATAAATATGTATATTTATTATAATTTTTATAAATAAATTTATTTAAATTATAGATTTATAAAATAAAGTAATTTTAAGTTAATTTAAAAATACATTTTTTGTAAATTTATTTGAATTATAAATAATTATAAATTATTAAATTTAATTATTATTTTTAATTATAATAGAATCCAAAAATATATATAATATATAAAGTATGGATAAATAATAAATCTCTTAATAATAGTAAAAATTCAGATAAATTTATATTAAAATTGTAATAAGAGATATAACAAAACTTTTAATATGATAAAATCTGAAATTAACTAAATTTTATTAAAACTATTAAAGAATATGAAAAAAATTAGCAAATATTTATAATTTAAAAGTAAAATATTCAAAAAATTTTAATATAAATTCTATATAAGAAATTTTTATAAAGTAATATATATAGTTAGCATTTAATTAGAAAATTAAATCAAATTCTAATTTATCATCAGAATATTCACTTTATTTTTAAAATTAAATCATTTAAATTAAATTTTTTTTTGCAATATTATTTTAATTTTATCATAAAATATTGAATTAATTTAATATATATAATATAACAAAAAATTTTAAAAATTTATTATATTAATAATATATTGTCTTTATATGTCAGATTTTATTTAATTTATTTATTTTTAACTAATTAAATATCAATAATAATATTAATAACTTTAAAATAAAAAAAATTTATTAAAAAATAAAATTTAAAATTATTATAAATTGCAGAAACTTAGAGATTTTACAAGTTACCTAAATAAAAAAAATAAATTAGCAAAATTATATTAAACTTTATTAAAATCTGTAAAATTCTAAAAAAATTTTAATAAAAATTAGCAAAACTAAATTTTAACTATTTTGTTAAATCCAAAATGAATTTAAATAAGCAACCTTAACTACAACTTTCAACTAGTTATAAAATATTCAGATATACTTATATCAAATAATATTAACTAGTTGATAATTATTGAATTAAATTTTATTGCTGAATTTAGTATTTCGTAAAATTAGATCAGATCAGATTTTATTCAAATCTGATCTAATCTGATTTTAATTTTTAAGATTTAAATCTAATCTGAATTTAACAAATCTATTAAAATTTAAATTGATTAAATCTAACAGATCAAATCTTAAATTTAAATTTGATAAATCAATTTAAATCAAAATCTGATCTAATTCAAATTTAAAAAGTTTTATTAAAAAATGATTTTTCAGTTTTAAAAGAGTTCTGAAAATGTTTCTTTTTAATGATTAAATGAAAATTTAATAAATTTCACATATTTAGCAAAAAAAGCTTGACAAAATTTCATTATCAAAGTATTTATTAACAAAAATAATTCTTTTTTATTTAGGTTAATACTAGTTTTAAAAAAAATCAAAAGCTTAAAAAAGTGAAGAAAATATGATCAAATCTGAAATTTTGCTAAAAATAGAAAGTCTTCTTAAACAGCTTAATAAAAATATTTGAAAAATATATTCTGAATTGAAGTCAAAAAAGTAAAATGAATTTTTATACATATTATAAAAGATAAAACTTGCATTTAATTTAAATAATAACTTTAACAATTAGGATTGTTTAAAATAAAAAAATTTTACAAGAAAATTTTTATTGAAAAATTCTTTCTCTAAAAAATAAAGAATTTTTTTTATTTTTAATATTTTTATTATAGTATAGTAGTATTGATAAATAAAATTCAGAAATAATCAAAATTTTATAATATTCTTAAAATTTTTTAATTTAACCAATCATTTTTTGTTTGAAATAAATTTAGAATATTCTAATCAATAAATCTTATACTATATTAAAAAAATGATTACATAATATATTTGATATATTCACTGATTATACTTGTAATTAACATTCTTTTTGCTTCACATAAATTGCTTACTTAGAAATTTATATTTATAATAATCATATAAATTATTTACTTTTTTAAAAAAAATTATAATCATTATGAAGAAGAAAAAAAATATGATAAATTGTATTACATCAATAAAAAAAAATCAATTAAATATATATAAACATATCAAAATCTAAATAATATTATGTTAAATTTAATAAGTATTTAAACTTTTCTTTATTCCTATATTTTATTTATAAGAATATAAAAATAAGAAATTTTTTTTAATAAAAAATTATTACAATTAGATTTTACATATTTTTTATTTAAAAAAAAATTTTATAAATAATATTCATCACAAATGTTTTTTATTAAATAAACTTTACATCTCTTTTATAATGAAAAAATATTTCTAAGTAAGAAAATGTAAGTTGTTACTTGCATTTAGCTTCAAAAATAATATAAATAATTGCAGTAATTACTATACTGCAGAAAAAGTTTATCATAAAGGAGGTTACTTGACTATTTGCTATCAACAAAAATAATAAAATATCTTAAGAAAATCCTTGAGTTATAAATATAACTTTTTTTAATAAATAAAGAAACTTTAGTAATAAAAGCAAAACTTTTTAAGCATCTTAAAATTTGAAAGCAGGTGTCATAAGAATAAGAAGAAACAACTAGATAAGATTTTTGCAATTTATTTAAAAGAACTATAGATAACTAATATTTATTATAAGAAATTTGAAAAATTTTATTGTTATTATTATATTTCTCATAATTTATACTTTATTAAGAACCTCTAAATGATAGATAATATTAAATTGTTATTCATAAATTCTTAAACAGTAAGTGTTTTACTTTTAAGAGGTTCTTCATATTTGCTTCATTATTATAAAAAATCAATACAAATATATTATTACACTATTTATTTTTTTTAGTTTTACTAGAAAATACTAATTTATTTATATTTTCTTTTTTATTTTTTACTTTTTACTTTTTTTTAATTTATTTTTTTAATTTAATTAAATTTTTTTTAATTTTTTAAGATTGAACTTCCTTAAAAACTTAAAAACTAATTGATAAGTTGAATTTCTTCTTTTTAGGATAGATAAGCTTTACTGAAAATATTATTAACATTCTTTTTTCTTCTTTTTTATAGAACTAGTTTTCTTTAAATCTTAAAAATCAATTAATAAGTTGAATTTTTTTTTGGAATAAGCGGGTTTCTTTGAAAATATTACTAATATTCTTTTTTATCTTTTAAGACTGGTTCTTTTTAAAATAATATCTATCTTTTAAAATTTTTATTATATCAAAAAAATTTGTTATGTATAAATTTATTATAAAAGGATCATTTTATATAATGTATTTACAAAATTTTTTTTGTACAATGTTATAAGACATTTATTTATCTGTAAATTTTATTATAATAAAACTTTTTAATATAGAAAATCTGTATTATATTAAATATTCATTGTATTTAAAATTTGTTATATCAAAATACAATATATAAAGAATTGACTATAAATTAATAATTACAGATAACTCTCAAAAATAAATACTGATTAACAAATCTCTAATGGAATGATAAACTTTTTAAAAATGATATAACTATATTTGACAACACAATTTGTTTTTCACTAAGTCTTAAAAATAATACTGCTAAGAATAGTTTATATATAATCCTGATTTTAAAGAATATCTTATTCACTAACTTGATAAAATTAAAGAATACTTAAGTAATCTTATAAAACTATTGAGTTCTCATAAAAATATTTTAAAGTAATTGAAAAAACTCTACATAAAAAAGTCACTATATTACTTAATATAAACTTTTTATAATAACAAGTTACTTGAGAATCATAATAAAGCTGTTATTATACACTTATAGATCAATATATTAACTGTATAATTAACAACTTATTATAACTTATTAATAATAATAGGAAAGAATTTCTTCTTTTATATAAATTATTAATAAATTGATAAATACATAAAACATTTTCTAATTAGTATTTCTGAATAAAAATTTTCTTAGTGAATATAACATGTATACTTTCTATCTCTTAATCATAGTATTTGATAAATAAATTAAAATTAACATTAGCAATTTTTCATAATTTTAATAATTTTTATTATAATTATTATTCCTACTAACTTATATTATATAATTCTTCTATATATAATAATTCTATAGAGATTTCTAATATTTATATTGC